TTGTAGGCAGCATATCCATTCTGTTTTTTTAATCCGTTCTGACACCCTATGTTTTTTGATTGGAGCATTTAGTCCATTTACATTCAGAGTAATTATTGATAGATATGAATTTAGTTACATTGTATTACCTATAAATTTGTTGTTTCTGGAGATTTTTCTCAGTTCCTTTCTAGTCTTTGTTGTTTTTGGTCTTTCTTTCCCACTCAAAGAGTCTCCTTTAATATTTTTTGCAGGGCTGGTTTAGTGGTCATAAACTCCTTTAGTTTTGTTTGGGAAACTGTATCGCTCCTCCTATTCTGAATAACAACCTTGCTGGCTAAAGTATTCTTGGCTACATATTTTTCCCATTCAGTATGTTGAATATGTCATGTCACTCCCTTCTGGCCTGCTAAGTTTCTGTGGAGAGATCTGCTGCTAACCTTATTTGTCTTCCCTTGTAAGTTAGGGATTTCTTTTATCTTGCTGCTTTTAGGAGTTTTTCGCTTATCTCTATATTTTGCAAATTTAACTGTGTTATGTCTTGGTATTGGCCTGCTTTTGTTGATTTTGATGGGAGTTCTCTGTGCCTCCTGGATCTGGATATCTGTTTCCTTCCCCAGATTAGGGAAATTTTCAGCTATTATTCCCTCAAATAAATCTTCTGTCCCCTTTTCACTTCTTCTGGGACTCCTATGATATGAATATTATGTTTGATGGAGTCACTGAATTCCCTAAGTCTACATTTGTGATCTAATATTTTTCTTTCCCTCTTCTTTTCAGCTTCATTGTTTTTCATAATTTTATCTTTTGTATCACTTATTCATTCCTCCGATTCTTCCATTCTTGTGGTCATTACATCCAGTCGGTTTCAAATCTCAGTTATTACATTTTTCGTTTTGGCCTGACTAGTTTTTAGATCTTTTATCTCTGAGGTAAGAGACTCCCTAGTGTCTTCTGTGCTTTTTTCAAGTCCAGCTAGTATTCTTGTGATTGTTGCTTTAAGTTCTGGGTCAGGCATATTATTTATATCTGTTTCAGTCAGATCCCTGGCTCTGACCTTTTCTTGTTCTTTCTTTTGGGATGAATTCCTCCATCTTGACATTTTGTCTAGGTCTTTATTTTGTTCTGTGTATTAGGAAAGCCCGTTATGTTTCCTGCTCCTGGGAGTAATGGCTTTATAAAGAAGAGGTCCTACACTGTCTAGGGCCGGGTGCTTTAAGAAGTGTCTCTAAGGTATGTTGTATGTACTCTCTGGCTGTATTTTGGCTGCTCTTTCCCTCAGGTTAGTCCTCTGCAGAGTTTCTCCTTGCCTGCAGTGGGGAGTGTTTGGACCTTGGCCAGAGTGTGCTGAGTTTTAACTAGGTGTGTTCTGGTCTGCTTGTTAAAAGAGACCTGATGCTATTTCCATTAGTGCTGAAGCTCTGCAGAACTCTCTTGTCAGTAGCCTTGGTGCATGTGGGGGATTTGTGGTGGTCTTCTGAGGGAGCGGTCTGCTGCACCAGTTCTCAGGCATACTTGTCTGAGAAAAGCAGCACCTTCAGAGCATTGGGTGGGTGAGGCTTGGTATAAGCAGTTCAGGCCACCAGTGTTGGTGCTGTGCTGCTTACTGAAGTTAGTTTATGCTGAGGGGCAGGGGAGAGAAATGGCATCAGCCCCCTCCCTTGTCCCTGGAGAGGGGAGTTTGTACCCGCCACTGTCCAGGAAGCCCTCCCAGAAGAGCATGTGTTCCAGGCATCCCTCAGATCGCTTCCTTCACCCTGTCTGTGTCTGGGCTGTCTGCCTGCCGGCATTGTAGTGCACCTGTGTTCTATCCCAGGTAGGCTGGCTGAGTTTTAAAACTCCAAACTTTAGGGACCTGGCATGGCATGGACCATAGGATATATGCTTTTTTAATGTGCATGTGGACTTTATTTTTCAGGACTTCGTTTTATTTTGTATTTATAGTGTATAAAAACATTTAGGTTACTTAAAACTTAAAAAAAAATTTAGGCATGGGGTGCCTGGCTGTCTCAGTTGGTAGAGCATGCTACTCTTGATCTTGGGGTTGTGAGTTTGAGCTCCATCTTGGGTGTAGAGCTTACTTTTTTTTTTTTTTTAAGATTTTATTTATTTGAGAGAGCCAGAGCCCATAAGCTGGCAGAGGGGCAGAGGGGGAGGGAGAGGCAGACTCCCTGCTGGGCAGGGAGCCCAATATCGGGCTTGATCCCAGGACCCTGAGATCATGAACTGAGCTGAAGGTAGACGCTTAACCTACTGAGCCACCCAGGTGCCCAGGGTGTAGAGCTTACTTAAGAAAGTTCAGGCATATAAAAACTTATTTAAAATACATGTAATAAAATAAAAATACAGTAACTACCTGTGTACCAATCTGGCTTAAAAAATAAAACATTAGGGTGCCTGGGTGGCTCAGTCAGTTGTGTGTCTCCCTTTGGCTCATGTCATGATCTCAGGGTCCTGGGACCGAGCCCAGCATCGGGCTCCCTGCTCCCCGGGGAGTCTGCTTCTCCCGCTGCCCCCTCCCTGCCCCCCTCTGCTCATGCTTGTGCTCTCTCGCAAAAATAAATAAAATCTTAAAAATAAAACAAAAAACATTATACATATCTACATTGCTCAAAGCATCAGTGTTTATAATAGCAAAAAACTGGAAACAACCTAAATGTCTATTCTGTTGTTGATAGGTACAAGTAGTGAAAAGTAATGACATGGATATGTTTCATAGAAGTATTCATACAAGTATGATTCTATTAAATGATGTTCAGAAATATGTAAAATCGAATATATCATTTAGAGATACAAATATGAGGAAAATCACAAAGAAAAGAGAGCATATTAAAACAAAAATCAGAATGGTGGTCTCTTCTGAGAAAGTAGGGAAGGGACTATATTGAGAGAAGTAATTATAGGGGATTTCAAAGGAAATAGAATGTTCTTAGATTGAGTATTGGATAAGTGGATGTTCATTATATTCCTCATATCCTGCATATTATATAAATATTCTTTTGTTCCTATTCAATATTTAACAATAGTTTTTTTAAAAAAGACAACATTATGAATGTAGTCCAAGCCCTGTGTATTCCTTCACAAATGTATTCCCTTTTTCTCAGAGATAACCACACTCCTCAATTTAGAATTTATTATATGCAGGTCTTTAACCTGAGTATTATGTTGCAGACATATGGAAACAACAAAATACAAGGAATGTTACAGTTATTCATTAGCATTTTCAGTGGTAACTTGGCACTCTTAATCTCAGTGGTTTGTCAAGATTGTGTCATGTATAGCTATTAAAAGGATAATTACAGTAGCTACCTCCCAATTCAAATGCAGGTAAACATCATCAATGCCTTACATATTATATTGTGTGGATATACTTGATTTTCAAAGAATCAGTCCTCTATTTTAGGACATTAAAGTTGTTTCTAGATTTAAAAAGTTAGAACAGCAATGTCTGTTCTATAAATTTGTGCACAGGCCCAATATAAAAATTGGGTCATGTTATAATGGATATTTGCTATGGCACTTGTCTTTTTTTTTCACTTACCCCCTATACCATGTCTGTACTATAGATAGATTTTTTTTTTTTTTTTTAAGATTTTACTTATTCCAGAGAGAGAGAAAGCAGGGGGAGGAGCAGAGGGAGAGGGACAAGCAGATTCTGCACTGAATGCGGAGCGGATGCAGGGCTTGATCCCAGGACCTCAAGATCATGACCTGAGACACAACCACTAGTTGGACACTCAACTGACTGAGCCACCCAGGCGCCCTTTTTTCTTTCTTTTTTTTTTTTAAATAACAACTTACCAACATAGTTTTCATTGTATACATGTGCAGTAAGATTTTATCATTTCTTTATTGATGGATATTTAAGCTATCTACAGATAATATTGCTAGGAATATCCTTATATTTGTGAATTTTAGGGAGTATTTCTGTGTTTGTGGTCCCGGAAAGGGGAATTGCTAGTTCAAAGACTGAATATTTCAAATTTCCAGGTTGTCAGATTGCCTTCTAATAAGGTTATACCATTTGACACCTTGGTAATAGGGGGACTTCCCTCCCTCCTCAGATTAGATTAGATTCCCTTGCTATAAGATCTTATAATGCTTTGTATTTTTATAACTTTCGTAGCAGTTGGCTATTGTTAATCTTCAGTAATTTATTTACCTGCATTGGCTAGCAAAGTGTCACTCAGTTATGGCGGATATTCACTAAGGACAGGATAAGTTGAAAGTTCTGCCTGCAATTGTGTGTTAAAGATGGGAAGTTAGAGGAAATTTGCTCCTCTGGTTTATTTTTTGTGCAGAGTTCTCCTTCTTTTCTAAACTTAGCCGCTTTGACCAGAAGTTCTAGTGGTTTGTGGATCTTTAGCTTTGGTACATCTTTATGTATTTTCTTCCTGCCAGCTGGGTTTGTTTGCTGCTGAGAAAGTTATGCCTGTCATGTTATTGATGTCTCCTTCCTGCCCTCTGTACAAGTTGATGAAGGTTTTGGCTCTGCTTTCAACCTAAGACTAGAGTGTCCTTTTTCCAGAAGGGCAACCCCTTTTGACTTCAGTGTTTTTCTTGAACCTGGTCCAAACTGTTTTGTGTATTGATGATTTTTCTCTTAATAGAAGCAATGAGGCCTTTTTCTAGTTTTAGTTATGTGATGATATCTTTTATTTCTTCTTTTTTAAAATTTCTTTTTTGTGGTGCCTTGGTGGCTCAGTCAGTTAAGGGTCTGCCTTCACTTGGGTCATGATCCCAGGGTCCTGGGATAGAGCTCCGCATTGGGCTCCCTGCTCAGTGGGGAGCCTGCTTCTTTCTCTCCCTCTGCCTGCCTCTCTCCCCCTGCTTGTGCTCTCTCTCTCTATTAAATAAATAAATAAAATCTTCAAAAAAGTTTCTTTTTTGTAATTTTAAGGTAGAAAAGTGCTACACACTTTAAGTAACACCAGTGATTTTCCAATAAAACTTAATTACTTTAAGTATATCTATTTATAGAACATTTTTATCCAGTGCCATTCATTTTTCCTTTGGTTTAGATAACCTCAAAATCTCTGACTTTGGCTTGGCAACAGTGTTTCGGCATAATAATCGTGAACGTTTATTGAACAAGATGTGTGGTACTTTACCTTATGTTGCTCCAGAACTTCTAAAGAGAAAAGAATTTCATGCAGAACCAGTTGATGTTTGGTCCTGTGGAATAGTACTTACGGCAATGTTGGCTGGAGGTAAGAGCTATTTAATTAATCATGATGAAACTCCTGTCCTATGGAAAGCCAGATTTGTTATACCAAAATAAATGAAACAAACCAAGGAAATCCATATTTATATGATAGTATTTTTTTTTTAAATTTTTTAAAGATTTTATTTATTTATTTGTCAGAGAGAGCACAAGCAGGGGAAGTGGCAGGCAGAGGGAGAAGCAGGCTCCCTGCTGAGCAAGGAGCCCGATGTGGGACTTGATCCCTGGGACCACGACCTGAGCTGAAGGCAGATGCTTAACCGTCTGAACCACCCAGGCATCCCCTATATGATTGTATTTTAATAGTGAACTTATTTATAATTAAGTTGGAACTTTGAATTCCAAAACTTTAAAAATGAGGTATGTATAGCTATTAAATGAAATATCACAATAGCAATCTCTTAAGATTCATGTGAATAATTTTGGAAACAGTAGAGCAGAAGTGATAGTTTATCTTTGAAATGCCTCTAATATTTCTGTGAGTTGGCATTCTTAGTTTGAAAACCATATTGAATTAATTTGGAGGAAATTTTAATGGGTTTGTAGCATTGACTATTTTCCTTTAAAACTTAACTATATAATAATGTGAACACTCAGAAAACCGGGACTTGTTTCTTTTTTAGAATTGCCATGGGACCAGCCCAGTGATAGTTGTCAGGAATATTCTGATTGGAAAGAAAAAAAGACATACCTCAACCCTTGGAAAAAAATTGATTCAGCTCCTCTAGGTAACTGGGTTATGTTGATTGAAAGTACTGATTTCTTGGATAATGAAGCTTAGTGATGTTTGAATTTTTTTCTTATATATATTTTTTTCTTTTTAACTTTTAAATAATCACATAAGTAATATGTGGTCCTTGCAGAGAGATTAGAAAATATTAATTTTTTTTAAAAACCAACCGTATAATTCCAGCACTTAGAAATAACTTCTTTTAATATTTTGATATGCAGTTCTACACTTTGTTGTAAAAATGTATAACAAATGTATGTGTTTGTTATGTATGTATATTATTTATAAGTATGTATGTTTTTATAGAAAATGAGATCACACTACACATGCTATTTTATAACCTGTTTTTTTGTCTTAATGCTGTAGTCATGGACATTTTTCCATGACTGTAATTGTAGGTCTACATCATTGTTTTTAAAGGCTGTGATGGAATTTTGCTATGTGGGTATGTTTTACTATAGTCATCCAATTCACTTTTTTTAGAGATTTATATATTTTTTTAATTTTTCACTTATGAAAGAGATATGGTGATCATCCACATAATGCACATACCTTTAAATCATTTAATTAAAAAAAATCCAGAAGTGTCAGGGATGTATGCAGTTTTTAATTATTATGGTTTACTTGGCCAAATTGCTTTTTTTTTTTCTTGTGTGTTTTATAATTTTTTTTAAATTTTATTTTATTATGTTATGTTAATCACCATACATTACATCATTAGTTTTTGAGGTAGTGTTCCATGATTCATTGTTTGCATGTAACACCCAGTGCTCCATTCAATACGTGCCCTCTTTAATACCCATCACCGGGCTAACTCATCCCCCCACCCCCCCAAATTGCTTTCTTAGAAAGTTCGTACTATTTCATCACAATCTCATTAGTTAATATTTAAACAAATTTTTTTTTAAGATTTTATTTATTTATTTATCAGTTTGTTTTTAAAGATTTTATTTATTTATTTGACAGAGAGCGCACACACCAGCAGGGGGAGCAGCGGCAGGCAGAGGGAGAAGCAGGCTCCCCACTGAGCAGGGAGCCTAATCTGGGGCTCGATCCCAGGACCCTGAGATCATGACCTGAGCTGAAGGCAGACGCTTACCTGACTGAGCAACCCAGGCGCCCCAAAGATTTATTTATTTTAGAGAGAGAGCACACATGGTGCATACATGCAGTCGGGAGGGGTAGAGAGTGTCTTCTGCAGACTCCACACTGAGCATGGAGCCCAACATGGTGCTCAGTCTCAGGACTCTGAGATCACAACCTGAGTGGAAACTAAGAGTGGGTTGCTTAACCAACTGAGCCACCCAGGCACCCCTGTATTCACTGTTTTCTTATTTTTATTTTTAATTTAATACCAATGAGGTTGTACATCCATTGCTAGCTTTTTATCCATTTTTGTGGATGATCTGTTTTGCACACTTGTGGCAGTGAGGTTTTCTTACTACTTTGTATGAGTTTTGTTTTTTTTTTTTTAACATTAATGTCATTAGATCTTTGCATTTGTTACATATTTTTCACAATTTGCCATGCATTTTTATTTTGTTTATGTTATTTTCACATGCAGAAGTTTTATATTTTTATTCAAATCTATTATTTTGTTCTTTGTGGTTTTCTGACTATATTGTTACGTTTGGAAAGGTCTTCCCTACCCCTAACTTTAGAAAAGAATTCCCTGTGTTTTCGTGTTTTTATAGCTTCAGTTTTTCATTTAAATCTTTGGTCCATTAGAAAATAATTTTGGCTTTCGGAGATGTATGACTTTTTTATCAGGATAATTAAGATACTTTAGGATGATAGTTGCTTACATTATTGTCTCTTAAAAAGTTACTGGAAAGTCAATTTTCCTTATAAAACTGTGTGAATGAGGATGTAACATGACATATTGGAACAATGAAGTTTGGTATTGAAAATGGATGAGGGTTTTTGTATCTTTTTGTTAATGTTGTCACATGGGGAGAAACATTTCCACCAGGCTCTTGTTCTACTTATTTGTAGACAGATGAGAATTAGATCTGAGAATGATCTTCTAAGATATAGACAGTAGCAAAGAGCAACTACATGAAATTAAAGCAATAATGTAGTAGCTTTATTCTTTCTCTTGCCCAGAAATATTGGATATAAGGAGACTAATAGAGAATATGTTCCACAGCACAAGTTTCTAATCTGCACGACTCTTTTGTAAATGTTGTATTAATATTTTATTTTCAGCTTTGCTGCATAAAATCCTAGTTGAGAATCCATCAGTAAGGATTACCATCCCAGACATCAAAAAAGATAGATGGTACAACAAACCTCTCAAGAAAGGTAATATTATGAAAAATACAAGTATTTTTTTCTGTGAAAGAAAAGACACTTGCAGTCAGTATTATAAGTCAACAACACAAGATACCTGTGGTCTCAGTCCTCATGTAGGTTGGTTATAATGTCTAGTAGGGAAAACAAATAAAAAATTAATTTTGAAGTTTATTAATAAAGTGGAAAGTCAGAGTACTATAGCTAAGTGTTTGACCAAGTCTTAAGTGACAGAGAAAACTTATCTTCCTGAGGAAATCACATTAAATCTAAGGTCTGAAGATTAAAGGGGAGCTAGCTAGATTAGTACTAGCAAGGTGAGTGGCAGATTCTGAACAGAAGAAGCAGCATCTGGAGAGTCTTGGAATTTGGAAGGTGGTACATTTGAGGAACTTGAAAGAAGGCCAGTATGGCATGGACCGTGTCTGGCTTATTCATCACGGTTGTCACCAGAGGTTAGCACGGTGTGTTGTACATTGTAGGCTCTCAGTAAATGTTTATTGAATAAATGAGTGAATAAAGAAGGGAGAGAGGGAGAGAGGTTTGAGATGAAGGTGGAAAGGTAGACAGTGACCAAATTGTGGAGGGGGACCTTGTAAACCACATTAAGGATTTTGGGCTTTAACTTGAGGCCACTGAAGAAGCCTTTGAGAGATTTTAAGCCAGGAAATACATGATCATATGTTCGGTTTTAAAAGATCTTTCTAGCTACTTTTTTTTCCCCATTGTTTTTGACATTTTTGATCCTGAATGTGAGAAGATGGTACCTTGGATGAGGTTAGTGGCAGTGGGATTGGAAGGAGGAAGTAGATTCCAAAGAAATTTACCAACTAGAGTTGATAGGACTGGTGATTGTTTATATGTAGGAAATGAAGGAGGATGGGGAGTCCAGGATGACTCCTTCTGGGTTGACCAACTCAGAAAATGGTGGTGCCATTTACTGGAATATAACTCAGGAAAAACAGAATTGGGGGGAAATTTTATTTGATTTTGGACATGCTGAATTTGAGAAGTAAAACTGTCTAATAAAGAGATGTGTGTATGTGTGTAACTCAGGAGATAGGACCTGGCTTGAGATGTCGATATTTAGGTGTTTTCTGCAAATAGACCGTAATTTAAACTGGTAGATGAAATTGAGTGTATGAAACTTTAAGGAAACTTAAATCTCTAACATTTAAGAGATAGGTAGAGGCCAGGGAAACAGAAAAATAGCCAAAGAGATGGGAGGAATAACAGGAGAATATGGAGGAATTGAAGCTAAGAGAAGAAAACGCATGATACTAGCTAATACTGTTAAGTGAATTAATAACATGAACCCTAAAATTTCCCAATAGTTATTCACGATTGTGGCAGGAACAGGTTTGGAGAGCTGGGAGTAAATTGTCGAGTACAGTGATTATAGTCTAAAAGATAGTGAAGCGAGTGTAGACAGCTCATTCAAGCAGTCTGGCTGTGAATGGGAGGAGAGACAACAATGGCGAGAGATGAATGAGGAGTTTTTAACTCTTCTCTGAATGTGTCTTTTACCTTTCACTCTGTTCTAATAGGAATCCAACTCTCTCCTGAGAACACAGACTTCCTCTCCAGTGGTAGATGTTTTCTTTCCCACATGCTCCTACCCTTAAAACATGGGGTGGGGCAGACATCCTTTTTGTTCTTCATTGCCACTTTTTCCCTTTTTCCCACATTTCTCCCCCGCTTCATTTTGAATCTCATATTATCAGATTACCACCCACAGTTCATCCTTGTTACAGTCAGCTTCTGAACCCCCAATTAAAATTCCTGCCACATTGTCACTCTCTCCAATATGACTCTTGATGTACATTTTGTACATCATGGTTCTTGGTGATTTAAATATTCATTTGGATGATCCTTCCAATATCCTGATCTCATATTTCCTTGACCTTCTCTCCTCTAGTGATTTTCTCTTCAAGCATCCTTCTTTGATTACTGGTATATTTTTTTCTGGTTTCCTCCTCTAGTACCCTGACTCCAGCAATCCTTTGACCCTACTTGGATATGTAATACACTAATTCTACTTCCTTTTCACTATCTCTTATCTGCTCCCTCCCTAGGTCCTCATTTTCATCCTCACTACTTTAAATCCCAAGGTCAGTCATTATGATGACTTCTTTACATTCAGCTTCAGCTTTCCAGCCCTATTCTCTCTTCCTCAGGCTTACTGGTCAAAACCTAACCCAAGTTTAATCCAGTCTTCCGCCTACTCTACACTTAACACCTGCATAGCTGATCACATTTGGACCAAAATATATAACAGTGTTCACTTTAAATTCAGGCTCACTAATCTCAAGTGAGCCCTTAATTCTGCCAGGCAATTATAATGCATTTCTTTACTTCTTTCACAACCTCACTCTCCTAAATCACATTTGTATGCCTTTTCTTTTTTCTTCAGCTTCTAATACCTCCTTCTCCATCCTCACTCTGAGTTGGTGACAGTACTTCCTATTTCACTGAGAAATAGAAACAATCATAAGGAAACTTCCACAAGCTCCCATCACCATCTCTACTCACCTAACCAGTTGCCTCTGTGCTCATATACTCTGCTTTCTCCTCAGTTGCTAGGAATAAATTGTCTGCTCCAGATATAAGCCAACTTTGTCTTGTGCACGATGCCCAGTTCTCCTTTGCTTACTCAGGGACATTGTCTGGCAATTCTTCTGTCTTCCTCCTGCATCATTAATTTTTCTCTCTCTCCTACTTTCTCATCAGCATACCAGCATGATGTTCTTTCATCTTACTGCCTGATGCATAGTAGCTTTACTAAATATTTGGATAAATGAATTAATAAATAAAATGTTTGGCTAAATAAAAGTATGTTTAAATGGTTTCAAGACCGTTCCAGTTGAGAGGAAAAGGCTGAAGGTCTAAGAGAGAAGGAGCATCAAGACCGCTGAAGAGAAAGGAGGGTATGGGGCTCACATACAAGTAGAGGGATGGGCATTGGATAGGAGCATGGAAGGGAAGGAAGGATGGGTAGTTATGGGAATTTCACAAGAGTATAGAAGTTTTGAAGTAATCATTTGGAGAAAGAGAGAGGAAACTGACTAGAGAAACACAAGACTAACTGTCAGTGTTGAGGCTGCGGCTAAGGATAGTAACCATGAATTTATAGTGGCATCATTTTCTATATAATAATTATTCTTGGTACCTTTTTCAGGGGAGCAAAGAATGTTGGATAGAGTAGATTCATAATGTTTATTGCCATTATCATAAATTATTTTTTATTTTAAAAAGTTTTGATTTTTTAGCTAGGTCTTTTTGTCTTCATAGGCCACTGTCTATTACTATAAATGGTACCATTAAAATTATGACCTTTATGTGAAACCCCACACTTGGAACATACTTACAAGTGAGGATTTGTGAAATGTGTAATTTGACAAGTTGAGTCCTCCTAAGTTTATAATGACCACATTTCTTATGTAATCATGTACAAGGAGCCACTATTTGTCATATAACTATTTTGTTTTGGATAAATGGATTTAGATGTGGTTTTAAAACATTTGTATTTATGTTTTCTTTTTTAGGGGCAAAGAGGCCCCGAGTCACTTCAGGTGGTGTATCAGAGTCTCCTAGTGGATTTTCTAAGCACATTCAATCCAATTTGGACTTCTCTCCAGTGAACAGTGCCTCTAGGTAAGATTAATCAATAAAGATCAAATAGTTGTTGAATGTAATGTTCCCATAAGAAAGAATGCATGTATATATTTTTTCTTAATCATGAATGTGATTTTTATCAGTGTGAGAATGGTAATGTCATATAAGAAGGGCCTGATTGATTTTATCTGAAGATATATTTTTTTCCCATATCTTAATGCCCCAGTGAAGAAAATGTGAAGTACTCCAGTTCCCAGCCAGAACCACGGACAGGTCTTTCTTTATGGGACACCAGCCCTTCATATATTGATAAACTGGTACAAGGGATCAGTTTTTCCCAACCCACATGTCCTGATCATATGCTCTTGAATAGTCAGTTACTTGGCACCCCAGGATCCTCACAGGTAAGGGAATTTAGTTTTTTCAAGTAAGTGATGAAAAACCTCTAGTTTTTGTCATAAAGCCATTTTTTTAAATGTATAAATCCTAGAAATATAGTATTAACACTTCAGTGTATACAGATTTTTTTTTTTTTAACAAGGAGGAGAGAATTAGAGGATGCTTTCCTGTGTAAGAATCTTAAGTCACAGAAAAGAATTTTCAGACCGAATAGCTATGATATGACTGCTTTTAGTAATACCAGATTTATTCAGGTTTCCTCTCTTTGACATGTAGAACCCTTGGCAGCGCTTGGTTAAAAGGATGACACGATTTTTTACCAAATTGGATGCAGACAAATCTTATCAATGCCTAAAAGAGACTTGTGAGAAATTGGGCTATCAGTGGAAAAAGAGTTGTATGAATCAGGTATGTTTCATTGATTTTCCTGAAGAAAAATGTAAATATTTAAGTAAAAAATGGTCATTATCAGTATATTTTTGAAAAAGAAACAATTGGGAGATGCCTGGGTGGCTCAGTCGCTTAGGCGTCTGCCTTTGGCTCAGGTCATGATCCCAGGGTCCTGGGATTGCTTCCCGCATTGGGTTCCTTGCTCAGCAGGGAGCCTGCTTCTCCCTCTGCCTGCTGTTCCCCCTGCTTGTGTATTCTCTCTCTCTCTCTTTTCCTCTCCCTCTCACTCGCTCTCTCTGACCAAAAAAAAAAAATCTTTAAAAAAAGAGAAAAAGAAACAATTGAGATTGAACAGACTTAAGTAAGATGTTCTTTATCTTAAGAAATAATATTGAAAGTCTTCTTTAAGGTTATTAAAAATATCAAGAGAGGCAAATCATTATGTTTTTACAAACTATATATACTTAAATTGTAACAGTAACAAAGATTCCCTTCTATGAAAGATGAATACATTAACAATCCCATATTTCTTCCATCTCCCCTGCTCCCACCTACCAGTTTTTGTTGTTTATATTATTATAGCATATTTGTAACATTGAAATTCTAATCTGTCTTTAGGCTTTTCAAAAATCTAATGTCATAAAAAACAATTAAAGGTGAATATTATTTATTAAAGAAGACTGATAAATAATGTAATGTGTGATCTTTCACTAAATCATGGATTTAAAGAAAAGAAACCTTTATAAAGGATGTTATTGGGACAGTTGGGGAAATTTGAATATGGTTTTGTATTAGATAATGTTTCTGTATCAGTGCCAAATTTCTTGAGTGTTATAATATTGTGGTTTGTAGGAGAATGTCTTTGTTCATAGGAGAAACGTGTTGAAGTGTTTGTCTTCTATAGCTTGGTTGAAAAACTGAAAAAAAAAAAATGACAACCACATAAAAAAAGACAAGTGAACATATACTTATCTAGGTTGATAAGACCAGTGAAGGGTATATAGTTATTATTGTAGATTCTTTCAGGGTTTTTTTTGTAGATTTGTAAGCTTTCAAAATTAAAAGTTGGGGGAAATTGTTACTATGCAGAAATCTGAGGCCAGCCTCATTTTCCTCTCACTTGTGTAGGTAATTTATTTATTTTTTTAATCAGGTAGGTTTACTGAGGTGAAATTCATGTAACCTAAAAATCATCACTTTAACCATTTTAAAGTGTATAATTTAGTGGTTTTGGTATATTCACAAGATTGTACTACCATCATCATTTAATTCTAGAACATCCCATTGCCTCAAAAATAAACTATACCAATTAACAGTCGCTCCTCATTCTTTCCTCCCTTCATTTCCTGGCAGCCACTGATTTACTTTCTGTCTCTATGGACTGCCTATTCTGGATATTTCATATAAATGGAATTATATAATATCATATAAATGGCCTTTTGTGTCTGTCTTCTCTAGCTTAGCATAATGTTTTCAGGGTTAATCCGCATTGTTTACATTTATCAATATTTCATTCCTTTTTATGGGAAAATAATCTTCCATTATGTGGATAGAAGACCACATTTTATTTATCCATTTACCTGTTGATGGACATTTGGGATGTTTCTACTTTTTGGCTATTATGAGTAATGCTGCTACGAACATTTTTGTACAAGTTTTTGTATGAACTTTGCCAGGGCTGTCATAACAAAATACCACAGACTGGGTGCTTAAACAGCAGAAATTTATTTTTTCACAATTCTAGAGACAGAAGTCCAAGATCAAGGTGCTGGCAGGTTCGGTTTCTTCTGAAGCCTCTTTTCTTGGCTTTCAGATGGCTGTCCTCTTGCTGCCTCGTCATCTGGCCTTTGCTCCGTGCACATGGGTACCTGTTACCTGTCTCTCTCTGTATCCTAATTTTTTTTCCTTACAAAGATACCAGTCATATTGGATCAGGACCCACTTAGTGGTTTCATTTTAATTCAGTTACCTCTTTAAAGACCCAGTCTTCAAATACAGTCACATTCTGAGGGGTTAGGGCTTCAACATACGAATTTTGAGGGAATACAATTCAACCCATAACAATATATTTTCAATTTCTTAGGTATATACCTGCTAATGGAATTGCTAAGGCATATAGTAACTCTGTTTAACTTTTTGAGGAGCTGCCAAGTGGTTTTCCAAAGCAGCTACACCATTGTACATTCCCACCAGCAGTGTATGTGTTAAGCATCTTGTACTTTCCCAGAACATGAGGTTCCAGTTTTGCACAATAGTGGTATACCAGTGTATTTTTTAGACATTTCTTGAAATGAGAAGTATTACAAATGTTTTTGTAATTTGGGCTAAACTTATTTATATTGCCTTAGGTTACTGTATCAACAACAGATAGGAGAAACAATAAACTGATTTTCAAAGTAAATTTGGTAGAAATGGATGAGAAGATCTTGGTTGACTTCCGGCTTTCTAAGGTACATACAACAACATATTTTTGTTTGTTTTAAACTTTGTTTTGCTGTTATTAAAGAAGTATTACGTGTTCATTGTAGAAACCTAAAAAATATAAAAACATATAAAGGAGAAAATACGAATCAAGTTTAATCTAATCATCCAGAGAGAACAGAGACCTATTTTATACTGTATTTCATTATGGTAGTCTTACTACTTCTTTAGTATGTGCTATATGGAAATGCTCTTATATGTAGAGATTTTTTTTCAATGGCATTATATTTGTATATACATGGCATTTGTAAATATGTGGTAACATTGATTTCATTCAATGTTCTGAACATTTGTTTTTTGTCATTATCCTTCTAAAACATAGTTTTTTCAAATGACATTTTCCTTATTATAGAAGTTTTTTTGTAGAAAATGTAAATAAGTAAAAATAAAATAAAAATAATCCTAAATTATACTGTCCAACAGTAATTACCCTGAATATTTTAAAGCATTCTAAACTTATTTAATCCATATATATCTTTTTAATAACAATTATGTTTGTCCAAGTGTATAATATAATTAATGAACATTTATCTGTCATAAGTAAGTCTATGATTAATATTTATATACATAGAGTCTTGTTCACATTTCTGATTATTTCTTTAGAAATTACTGATTCTGAGGTTATAGTTTGGCCTTGGTATATAAGACCAAAGTAGCATTTTATCTGTTTGCTGAGAGATTGTATATGGCTCTAAAGGAGGTTGGGGAAATAAGTCACATTCTAAAATTGGAAATTTGCTCCATTACCATTGTCTAGATGCTTAGTATGGGATTAAATTATTAAGATCCTAGTGTAATGAAATTCTTCTCATACCTGAATCACTGGCTTTGTTGCCACAGTATTTTGGCAAGATTTCAGTGTAGCCGTGTAGCTTAATTTTAGTTTACAAACCCCCAGTGCCTATGGAAAACAGTGACTTAGGTCCATAGATACCAATGCTTGAAATAGACAAGATGCCATTGTTTTTGCTCTCTGAGCCCAGTGTGGTGGAAACTGTGATGGGCCCAAAAGCAAGTTGGAATTACTTATGTAGCCATTTCTTCTAAGACATTTGGTCCTCAGAAGAGGACCTGAAGAGAATTGTAGGTGGACATAGCTAAGGATGTTTGTCTCTACTTACCACTAAAGAGAGTTTGATTTTATGGCAGTCTCTTTTTTGATATCATTTTTGGATATTATTCCTAATATAGGGTGATGGATTAGAATTCAAGAGACACTTCCTGAAGATTAAAGGGAAGCTGAGCGATGTTGTGAGCAGCCAGAAGGTTTGGCTTCCTGCCACATGAGAGATCCACTGGATTCCTGGTGAATATAGTGCTGCTATGTTGACATTATTCTTCCTAGAGAAGATTATCCTATTCTGCAAACTGCAAACAATAGTCTCTGAAGAGTTGTCTTCCCTCTAGCCAAACATTTTCCAATTCTTTTTGTATGTTCTTCATACAAACAATACCTGTATCTTCATTGTAAGTAAAGCTTTGGGGAACGGATGGATAGAATTCATTAGATATTTCTTCATCCTGTGTTTAGTGTCTAAAGACCCATGTGCTGGAAACCAAGCTTTGGGGATACATGAGCTTACCACCTTTTATACCAATGTAATGAAAGATGATATTCTTATAGCATTGTTAACAAAACATTTGGTTTCATCCAAAAAGTAGGTGTTTCCTATGTTGATTTAATTACATGGATGGATTAGTAATAAAGCAATCCTGTGACTTTTGGACAGTAGATTTATCAGTCTATAAAGTGAGCCAACTTCAAAAAATATATCCCCAAGATTTGTACTTATATTTTCACAAGGGCCTTACCAAGTATATAAATCTGTTTTTGAATTATAACTTGTTACTTAAAATTGCAAGTAGGTATGTTTTCTCCATTGTAGTTAATAATATATAAAATACTGGTTGTCTTTCAAGTAGAAGTTGAGCGTGGACTCTAGTCCTTAACTACCTTTACTCTAAAATTACTATTGCACATTTTAAATATTTTTCTATATTATTTTCTACTTTCACAGCCATATTTTAATTCTTTATTACAGAAATAAATTCTATTTTGAAAATGAATAGCTAACTCTGTGGACTTCTTGGTGACCAAGCTTCTAGGTAGTAGGGAATAAAAGAGGAGGGAGAAGAAGTAAGGAAGCTGTGATAGAAACAGATCTGATCCTAATTCTTTTACTATTAGATTTACTAAGACTTTGTTCTTCTGATAAAATTTATATTAATATTTGAATGTATTAGGTTGGGACCTGTATTCCTTTTTCTTGGTAATTTATAAAATTAATCATTTTAGTCTGAAGCTAAGAACATGTGAAATTTTATGGTTAGAGTTTATCGCTTATTAGTATATACTGGTAAATTGTGTTCACTGCAGTATATCCATAGGAGAAATAAATTTGAAGCAATAGGTGACTCCTAAGAATTGAGCCAGTAAATTCTCAAATATGAAACATTTTGTTCTTGAGAATTGTGATTAGTAACTCTCAAAAACAAAGTTATCTCAGGCTTTGACCTCTCTTGTGAGCTTTAGACCTTTATAGACACAGCCAAGCTGACATTTCCACTTGACTAATAGTGAACACGTGACCAAAACCAGCTTTTGGTCCCTGTCTTCCAACCTGTTCTTCCCTAATTTCTCCCAATCCCAGTAAATGCTATATTCAGCTCTCCAGTTCCTTAAGCCAAAACCCCAGGAATCCTCCTTGACCTGGTTTTCATATTGTACATTTAATTCAGCAAATCCTGTTCCATTTAGCAAATTTATCCACAATCTATCCTACTTCACACCTCTACTAGAAGCACTCTAGTTGAAGGCACTGTTACCTCTCTTTTCATTATTACTTAACCTACAACAGTTCAAAAAGACAATCAGAATGATCTTTCTAAAATGTGAATGAATCAGTTATCCTTCCCCTGTACTCAACTCTCATGGCTTTTCATCACACTTCAAACAAAATTCAAAATTTTCTCTCTCACCTCCTGGCTTAATGGGATCTGCCCTCTTACCAACGCCTGGGCCTCCTCTGCCACTCTTCCTACTTACCCTGCCCTAGCTGCATTTGCTTTGCTGTTCTGCTCATGTTTACTTGAGCAGACACATTCTTATCTCAAGATCTTTTCCTTTGATGTTCCCTCTCCCTGGAGTGCTTTACTCCCAAACATTCATGTGGCTTGTGCTTCACTTTAAGTCCTTGCTTAAGTGTCACCCATTATGCAAAGTCTCCTTGGCTTATCTAAAATGTTACCCCACTTCTATCATTCTTTATTTTTCATCATAACACTATCTGACATTATATTTTTATTTACCTATTAAATGTCCATTTCCCTCATTGCAGTATGTAATATGTAAGCTCCTTGAGGTCAGGGATCCTATATGTCCTGTTCAGTTCTGTGTCCCCAGCACTTAGAAGAGTGCCTAATGTATTACAGCGTGCAATGAATAGTTGTTTAATGAAGAAATAGACACTCAATTGATCCGGTCTGTCCTCAGAATATATCTGGGAGCTGAAGACTTCTGTCCATTTTGATTGCTGCCACTCTAGTTCAAGCTCCTTCATCTCCTCCCCGAATTTCTTACTAAAAACTAATGTCTTCCCACTTCCACTCTTGCCATTTCCCAACCCTCTCTCCCTCAAAGTCTTTTCTTGACATAGGTCCTAACTTGGTTTTTTTTAAAGATAAATTGTACTCTGACACTCCCTTGCTTAAAAACCTCCAGTGACTTTCCACTGCATCAAAAATGGAATCTGGGCGCCTGGGTGGCTCAGTCGTTAAGCGTCTGCCTTCGGCTCAGGTCATGATCCCAGGGTCCTGGGATCGAGTCCCACATCGGGCTCCCTGCTCTGCGGGAAGCCTGCTTCTCCCTCTCCCACTCCCCCTGCTTGTGTTCCTGCTCTTGTTATGTCCTGTCAAAAAAATAAAATTAAAAAATCTTAAAAAAAAAATGGAATCTAAATTGTTTGCTTGGACTGCAAGATACACCATCTGTTCTCTTTGTTCATCATACTATAGGCAGAGTAGCCTTCTACTTCTACTTCTTCTATTCATTAAGCATGCCAAAACTCATTCCCCTTTCAGGCCTTTTATGTTTTCAGCTCCCACCACCTGGAATCCCTTCCAGTAGTTTGCATGACTTACTTAGCATTCAGATCTCAGCCCAAATGTTTCTACTATCCCCAGTCACTATCCCACTGTTTTGTTTTCTTCATAGAATTGATTACTATCTGAAATTACAGTCTGTCTCCCCGACCAAAATGTAAGCTTAGACTTCGTCATTTCTTTTCCCCTTTGTATATCTCCCCCCTCCTTCCTGCCCCTTTGTATATTTTGTATGTGGAACAGTACCTGGAATACAGTAGGCCCTAAATAAATATTTGTTGAATAAATGAATTAAATATCAGATGAAGAAAATGCTACAGAATATTGTAAGGGGAAGGTGAATAGATGGATAGTAAACAAACTTTCTCAGCTATTGGAATTTGTGTAGAATGGGGGGGAAGTTCCATTCAGACTTGGACAGATTAGCTCTCACAGTTATAATTACGTGAGCATTGGCAACCGCCTCTGTAAAGAGACTGATAATAACTACATTTTAGAGTTGTTTTTAATCTTAAATGAGTTAATGTGTATAAGGAGTGTAGTATAAAGTGTTGCACAAAAGGCATTCAATAAACATAAGCTGCCATAATTTTTCTGCAGTGTTCATTATACTGTTGGGAGAAGGTGTTTACTCCCATTATTAAAAGTAATGTTTGCTTAGCAACGAAAATTTGCAAAATGTAAAAATGGGGGGAATGGAATTATAACCCAAAGATAACAGCTAAAATTTTGATGGAAAGTCAACGCGTGCTGCATTGTGTGTATGCATAGTGTGGTGTGTGAAGTGGGTATGATTGTTGAGATAAATATAAATACGTACAATGTGTATGGTTTAACAAGCAGTTGTAAAGTTAATCTGTTTAACCAAACTCAGTTGAACAAAGATCATTTCTGGACCCTCACAAGCCTTCCCTTGTACCCCTTCCCACTCAGAACCCATTCCTTTCCCCCAGAAGTAATCATAAAATTTATTTTTATAATAATCCTCTTCTTGGTTTTCTTTAGTTTTCTCAGCTATTTATGCATCTTTATTTTATTTTTTAAAAAAGATTTTATTTATTTATTTGAGAGAGAGAGAGCGTGAGAGCGAACACAGGGTAGGGGCAGAGGGAGAAGCAGACTCCCCGCTGAGCAGGGAGTCCGATGTGGGGCTTGATCCCAGGACTCGGGACCACGACCTGAGCTGAAGGCAGACGCTTAACCTACTCAGCCACCCAGGTGCCCCTATTTATGCATCTTTAAATGACATAGTTTACTTTTGCCTATTTTAGAACTTCATATAAATGAAATTATGCTGTATGTAATTTTTATGTGTTGCTTTTTTATTTTCATTAGCATGAATAACTTGCATGTATCGAATTCATTGATTTTAATTACTGTATAGGATGCCATTTATGAACATACCACTAAAATCTATTCTCTCTACTGCTAATGGATGTTTGTGTTATTTACAGTTTAACACTATTATTAACACCTGCTAAGAACATTGTTCATGTCCGTGAATTTCTCTAGGTCCTGGAGACTAGTGTGTATACCTACGAGTGGAATGGATGGGTTTTAGGGTATGCATATCTTCAGCTTAAGTAGAATAAGGGCAAACTGTTTCAAAAGTGATTGTACCAATTTATACTGCCATGAAAGAGGATGCAATTGCTGGAAAAACAGTTTGGAATGATCTATTAAAGTATCAGAATTTTAATAGCAGAATATGTGTTTCTAGTATTTCAGACTTTCCCCTCCATTTGATTGTCAGTCTAATTTTTGCCAAGTTACTGGTGTAATATTTGTTTGGTATTAATTTGCTCATACCTAAGTTTAAATAAGGTTGAGTGTCTTATGATGTGCCTCCCCCAGTCTTTTCCCCATTTTTCTGTTGTCTTTTTTTTCTTAATGATTTCAGTTGTTTATATGTTCAGCATACTAGTTCTTTGTCAGTGGCATGTATAGCATGTACACTGTCCCATTCTGTGGCTTATTGTTTCAAATTTCATGGAGGTTTGTAATTTTAATGTAGTTCCGTTAAGATCTCTCCTGGCTAGCTTTGTTTCCTATTCTACTTCAAGATCATGAAGATTTTCTTGTATATTATTTTCTAAAAACTTTATAGTTTTGGCTTTCATGTTTAGATCTATAATCCACCTGAAAGTGGATTCTGTGTATAGTGTGAGGGAAGAGGTCAAGGTTCATTTTTTCCCCCACTTGGCT